TAGAATCACCATACAAAAAATCAGCTCAATCCAATCTTTGGCTGGTAGGTAATCGTGCCTTGCCCCAAAAGGCAGCGGATATCGCATAAAAATCAACTAAACTAGCTCATCTTCCAAACAACCAACCTAGAGTGCTCCGCAGGACCTGAAAATGGGGACACCGGTCCACAGCACTACTTAGAGTCACCACACAAAGAATCAGCTCGATCCAATATGTGGCCGGCAGGTAATCATGCCTTGCCCCATAAGGCAGCGGAAATCGCAGCAAAATCAGCTAAACTAGCTCATCTTCCAAACAACCAACCTAGGGTGATCCGCAGTAGCTGAGAATGGGATGGGAGGTTCATAGAACTAACTAGAGTCACCACACAAAGAATCAGCTCAATCCAATCTTTGGCTGGTAGGTAATCGTGCCTTGCCCCAAAAGGCAGCGGAAATCGCATAAAAATCAACTAAACTAGCTCATCTTCCAAACAACCAACCTAGAGTGCTCCGCAGGAGCTGAAAATGGGGACACCGGTCCACAGCACTACTTAGAGTCACCACACAAAGAATCAGCTCAATCCAATATGTGGCCGGCAGGTAATCATGCCTTGCCCCATAAGGCAGCGGAAATCGCAGCCATCTCAGCTATACTAGCTCATCTTCCAAACAACCATTCTAGAATGTTCCGCAGCAGCTGAAAATGGGGTGGGAGGTTCATAGAACTAACTAGAGTCACCATACAAAGAATCAGCTCAATCCAATCTTTGGCTGGTAGGTAATCGTGCCTTGCCCCAAAAGGCAGCGGAAATTGCATAAAAATCAACTAAACTAGCTCATCTTCCAAACAACCAACCTAGAGTGCTCCGCAGGACCTGAAAATGGGGACACCGGTCCACAGCACTACTTAGAGTCACCACACAAAGAATCAGCTCGATCCAATATGTGGCCGGCAGGTAATCATGCCTTGCCCCATAAGGCAGCGGAAATCGCAGCAAAATCAGCTAAACTAGCTCATCTTCCAAACAACCAAACTAGGGTGATCCACAGGAGCTGAGAATGGGATGGGAGGTTCATAGAACTAACTAGAGTCACCACACAAAGAATCAGCTCAATCCAATCTTTGGCTGGTAGGTAATCCTGCCTTGCCCCAAAAGGCAGCGGAAATCGCATAAAAATCAACTAAACTAGCTCATCTTCCAAACAACCAACCTAGAGTGCTCCGCAGGAGCTGAAAATGGGGACACCGGTCCACAGCACTACTTAGAGTCACCACACAAAGAATCAGCTCAATCCAATATGTGGCCGGCAGGTAATCATGCCTTGCCCCATAAGGCAGCGGAAATCGCAGCAAAATCAGCTAAACTAGCTCATCTTCCAAACAACCAACCTAGGGTGATCCGCAGGAGCTGAGAATGGGATGGGAGGTTCATAGAACTAACTAGAATCACCATACAAAAAATCAGCTCAATCCAATCTTTGGCTGGTAGGTAATCGTGCCTTGCCCCAAAAGGCAGCGGATATCGCATAAAAATCAAGTAAACTAGCTCATCTTCCAAACAACCAACCTAGAGTGCTCCGCAGGACCTGAAAATGGGGACACCGGTCCACAGCACTACTTAGAGTCACCACACAAAGAATCAGCTCGATCCAATATGTGGCCGGCAGGTAATCATGCCTTGCCCCATAAGGCAGCGGAAATCGCAGCAAAATCAGCTAAACTAGCTCATCTTCCAAACAACCAACCTAGGGTGATCCGCAGTAGCTGAGAATGGGATGGGAGGTTCATAGAACTAACTAGAGTCACCACACAAAGAATCAGCTCAATCCAATCTTTGGCTGGTAGGTAATCGTGCCTTGCCCCAAAAGGCAGCGGAAATCGCATAAAAATCAACTAAACTAGCTCATCTTCCAAACAACCAACCTAGAGTGCTCCGCAGGAGCTGAAAATGGGGACACCGGTCCACAGCACTACTTAGAGTCACCACACAAAGAATCAGCTCAATCCAATATGTGGCCGGCAGGTAATCATGCCTTGCCCCATAAGGCAGCGGAAATCGCAGCCATCTCAGCTATACTAGCTCATCTTCCAAACAACCATTCTAGAATGTTCCGCAGCAGCTGAAAATGGGGTGGGAGGTTCATAGAACTAACTAGAGTCACCATACAAAGAATCAGCTCAATCCAATCTTTGGCTGGTAGGTAATCGTGCCTTGCCCCAAAAGGCAGCGCAAATCGCATAAAAATCAACTAAACTAGCTCATCTTCCAAACAACCAACCTAGAGTGCTCCGCAGGAGCTGAAAATGGGGACACCGGTCCACAGCACTACTTAGAGTCACCACACAAAGAATCAGCTCGATCCAATATGTGGCCGGCAGGTAATCATGCCTTGCCCCATAAGGCAGCGGAAATCGCAGCCATCTCAGCTATACTAGCTCATCTTCCAAACAACCATTCTAGAATGTTCCGCAGCAGCTGAAAATGGGGTGAAAGGTCCACAGTACTACTTAGAGTCACCACACAAAGAATCAGGTCAATCCAATATTTGGCGGGTAGGTAATCGTGCCTTGCCCCAAAAGGCAACGGAAAACGCAGTGAAATCAATTAAACTAACTTATTTTCCAAACAACCAACCTAGGGTGCTCCGCAGGAGCTGAGAATGGGACGGGAGGTTCATAGCACCAACTAGAGTCAATACACAAATAATTAGCTCAATCCAATATGTGGCGGGCAGGTAGTCATGCCTTGCCCCATAAGGCAGCGGAAATCTCAGCAAAATCAGCTAAACTAGCTCATCTTCCAAACAACCATTCTAGAATGTTCCGCAGGAGCTGAGATTGAGACGGGAGGTTCATAGAACTAACTATCTCCACCACACAAAGAATAAGCTCAATCCAAAATGCCTACGCTATCAATCGACGCATTTCCCCACAGGCCTGCGCAGAAGTTGTACAGAGCAGCCTTAGGCAGCACGTTTGTCGAACGACCAACCAAACGTGCTCCGGCGAGGCCCATTTTGGTATGGGAGGCTCCTGATAATATTAGTAACATCCTCCTAGGAGTTCAGCCCAATCCAAAATGTATATGCTATCAATCGACGCTTTTCCCCATAGGCCTGCCCAGAACTTGTACATACCAGCCTTAGGCTAGCACGTTTGTCAAACGACCAACCAAAAGTGCTCTGGCGAGGCCCATTTTGGGATGGGAGGCTCCTGATACTAATAGGAACTTTAATACTAGGTTGCTTAGAGAGTTTAGGCTTTATCCTGAATCTAGTCAACAACAAGATTCCTCGCCCCAAGAGCTTCCACAGTATCATTTCAACTTGCTAGACTCTATGTAGCATGTAAATGGATGAACGGTTGCTCCTTGATGAGAATCACCTGTTGGGACGTGATTGGCATATTGGGAACCCTGTCAATTACAATCAAAACTCGCAAGTATTCAACAGATAAAAAAGTGCACTGTTATGTAAGATCTTGTGCATGCAAATATAGCAGGTGTACTATCAAATTTGGATGGGTCCCGAACTGTCTAAGAGAACCCGTTGAAATGCTGCTAGTGGCCATTGTGCAGAGCCGAATCAGAATCGGAGCAGATTCTGGCTGCAAATTTTGGATCGCTGGGCACGGGGTTATGTCTGTTGGTCGTATCGAGGCCTTTGACATCTGGTTGCCACCTGGCCACTTGAAACGCACCAAAATATAGGGGGCAGGATAATTTCTTCTGTTAATAGCGAACGCGTGTACTGAGCGACGTTTTAGTTGTGAGCCAGCGCCTTCAGCGGCCGCAAAACGAAGACACACGTTGCAGGCTAAGAGACGGTGAGAACTGCGGTGGGACTGCAAAGCCGGCTTCGTGTGCTTGAGTTTTCAATCTGTTGGGAACAATCTTTCAGACAAATCCAACAGCTGTTTCAGAAAAACAAGCAACTAGAACGCATTTGGCATTTAGTAAGTAGAGAAACATCCCAAGGTTCTCGGGAAAAGTTTTTTCTGCTCACAAGTTTCCGGTTTACCAAAGGGTCATCTCCAGGTGCGCCGATTGCCAATTGCAGGCTAAGTGACGGGATGCGACGAGAAGTAGTTCTACCTTGATAGGGTCAGTGGACCGTTGCGAAATTCCTACCACTGCTCCTAGGGTCAGTTCGGAACTTTACTGTTCTGCACTGTACTGCCACATTGCCACGCACCCACAAAGCTGCCATGAAAACTACAGAGCTGCCCTGCCGCACAAACCACAAAGCTGCCACGCAAACCACAATTCTGCCATGTGGTGCTGGACACTGTCGTCGTTTTGTACTGTATCAAACCAACATTATCATCAACCGCCTCGAACCCCAGCCCACGGTCACGCCTAGCAGTTCCTCTGCCACCATCGTCTCTCACGACTCTCTGGTCCTGTGCTACCGTTCGCGATAGCAGTCACGACGCTGAAAGACCAACACCTTCACGAGGGCGTCTTTCCTTCGGCACCGCAAGACAGTTTTTCCCCCGCTTTTCCCAGCGACTTACCTCTGACATGGTCGAACCGCGACCCACGCGACTCTCCTATGCAAACATAATCGACCTCGCGCTTCCACGATATCCTGTTCCGTCCGTTTTTCACGGCCTCTCAGAATGGCACGTATCATAGCGCCACGTACTGCCTTACCCTCTGCGAACATAGTAGCTTCTGGGGCCTCCCTAGTATCACCCACGTCCAGTTTCTTTCCGGGAGTCAAGCCGCGCCGGTTGAAAGTCCATACCAAATCGTTATAAGCGGGTCGCGTAGAAAGCGCCCGTTCCCGAATCGGGCTGCTTCAAACTCTGGGTACCCGACCCGTCAAGTGACCGCGACCGGAACACGCTGTACGTTTTCGGTTCCTAAATGATGGCTCATTTCTGCATCTCCTGAATGTTTAAGAAGACATGTTTCGACACTAGTAGCACTTACCAATCCACAGTGCAAACCGATATACTTTGTTACGTTAGAGTTTCTCAGCGTTTCCCGATTTTCTCTGGCCCTGTCTGCATAATGTCGACTAAACTGCAGGTCTCGAAGTCTGGGAAGAAAAACTCTGCCAAAGGTGTCTCGGCACGATCTCCCAGCAAGGTCAAGCAGACTACGAAGAAGAAGGGAACTGTGGGTCCGCCGAAATCCAGGTCATCTAGCGGTGAGGGCCCACCTGGGGGCGATATTCGCAAGTCCAACCGCCCTCGAAAGGCGAGAGTGTGGTACGCAGAAGGTGCGGATGCTACCGAAGAAGACGCTGAACCTGTTACAGCTGCGCGGAACAAACGACAGGGCGACGATTTGGACGAGGCAGAGGCCAACGGCAAGTCGGGAGACGAGGCCGAGGCTGAGGACGAGGCTGAGGCCGAGGCTGAGGATGAGGCTGAGGACGAGGCTGAGCACGAGGCTGAGCACGAGGCTCCGCACGAGGCGGAGGAGGAGGCGGAAGAAGAGGCCGACGAAGATGCGGAGGAAGATGAGGAGGAAAAGGCGGAGGAAGAGGCGGAGGAAGAGGCGGAGGAAGAGGCGGAGGAAGAGGCGGAGGAAGAGGAAGATGGCGAGGCGGAGGACGAAGAGGGTGGGGAGTCCGGCAATGAGTCGGAAGATGAGTCCGGAGACGAGCCGTCGGACGAGGAGGGTCGAGAGTCGGACGATGAGCAGGGGGATGAGGAGGAGGCAGTGGAGAGGAATGAGAAAAACGGTACGGCGGAAGTGCCTGCCTGCGCGGATGCTCATAAGCCTGAGGTCACGAAAAAAACAAGCTTTGACGAGATGCTGGAAGAGCAGGATGACAGTGAAGGTGATGCCGTGGAGGATGAGGCTGTGGCAGAGGAACGAGCTTTGCTGCTTGGGAAGCTGAAGGCACTTGATGAGATCCAGGAACCCGTTGTCAGCTCGAAGCTCGCTGGAAAGGGTGCGAAAGCACAGTCGCGTTCAGGACCCTCTAAGGTTCCGGCTAAGCCACCTCCAGGGAGACATGCTGTCGCCATGGCTAAGGGTAAGGAGAAAGTGGTGGAGAAAGTGGTGGAGAAAGGGGTGGCGAAAGAGAGTAGCCCTGGTGGAAAGACGAAACGGGAGGAGTCCGCCTTGGTGGTTGGAGGTGCATAAAAAAAGCGGAACACCGGTGAAGTTGCGGGCAAAACGAAGGCAACTCCAAAGGCAGCAGGCGCTGGGGCAAGAGGGGTAAAGGCTAAAGCGGGCGGTGGGGCTAAAGCGACCGCTAAGAAGGGCAACACCAAAACCGATGGTGAGAATGTTGCCTCGTTAAGGTGCATGTTTCAGTGAACTAGGGCTATTGCCCTTATGTTGCCTTTCTATTTGTGGCATGTTTGTTGATGTCCCAAGGCACTGTCCCATCCTTTCTCTGTAGTCCCATCCCTGTTGTCCCTATCCTTGCCGTACCCTATCCTCCCATCCCTGCAGTCCCATCCCTACCGTCAGCTCTCGTCCTATCCCTGCCGTAAACCAATCAGCCCATCCCTTCTGTCTACCTTCCTCCCATCCCTCCCGTCACCCATCTCCCATCCCTCCCGTCACCCAACTCCCATCCCTTCTGTCACGTTCCTCCTATCCTTTCTGTCACGTTCCTCCCAGCAGCACCCAAGGACTCCGGAGCTGCGCCACCAGTGAAGGTTCTCAGCCTAGCCACCAAGCGTTTCGATCTCGTACCCGCCAAGAAAACCCCGTTTGTGGCGGCATCCGGCGATCGCCGCCGGGAGCGTGGTGGTGTAACAAACGCGGACCTTGACCAATTCGAGCGACGCGTGATGGCGAGGTTTGCCGAAATGCTGTCGGCCATGGGTCGGGGTGCTGGCCAATCCCTCCCAATCGGAGCGCCTGCAACAACACCTCCCCATTCTGGCCCGAGCACCAGCTCGTCGGAAGGCCTTCCCTCTGGCAATAGTCCCCTGGCAAACCACCGCGAAATCGTCTACAAAGCCGTAGTCGACTTCAAGGTGCGTTGCCTGTGATACACTGCGTATGCGTTTCCTAGACTCCTACTCGACCAGTCTGCACCCTCACCCCTCGATCCTAAACCCCAATTGCTTCCCCAACCAGAACTAGGGAGTTGAAGCTTTTCCTAAACACTGACTCACGCTGTGCCAGTCCATCCCTCCTACCCTCAACCCTAAACCCCACTTGCTTCCCCAATCCAGGTCTAGGGAGGTGAGGCTTTACCTAAACCCTGACTCCCCTCTGCCTGCCTGCCCCTCTCCCCTCAACCCTAAACCCCACTTGCTTCCCTGTCCAGGTCTAAGGGGGTGAGGCAATACCTAAACCCTGACTCCCTTCTGCCTGCCTGCCCCTCTCCCCTCAACCCGAAACCCCACTTGCTTCCCTGTCCAGGTCTAAGGGGGTGAGGCAATACCTAAACCCTGACTCCCCTCTGCCTGCCTGCCCCTCTCCCTTCAACCTTAAACCCACCTGCTTCCCCATCCAGGTATAGGGAGTTGAGGCTTTACCTAACCATGACTTCTGCTTTGACTGTCTGCCCCCACTACCGTCAACCCGAAACCCCACTTGCTTCCCCATCCAGGTCTCAGGGGGTGAGGCAATACCTAAACCCTGACTCCCTTCTGCCTGCCTGCCCCTCTCCCCTCAACCCGAAACCCCACTTGCTTCCCTGTCCAGGTCTAAGGGGGTGAGGCAATACCTAAACCCTGACTCCCCTCTGCCTGCCTGCCCCTCTCCCTTCAACCTTAAACCCACCTGCTTCCCCATCCAGGTATAGGGAGTTGAGGCTTTACCTAACCATGACTTCTGATTTGACTGTCTGCCCCCACTACCATCAACCCTAAACCCCACTTGCTTCCCCATCCAGGTCTCAGGGGGTGAGGCAATACCTAAACCCTGACTCCCTTCTGCCTGCCTGCCCCTCTCCCTTCAACCCTAAACCCCGATTGCTTCCCCATCCAGGTCTAGTGAGGTGACGATTTACCTAAACCTTGACTCCCCTCTGCCTGCCTGCCCCTCTCCCTTCAACCCTAAACCCCACCTGCTTCCCCATCCAGGTATAGGGAGTTGAGGCTTTACCTAACCATGACTTCTGCTTTGACTGTCTGCACCCACTACCATCAACCCTAAACCATGACTTATGCTTTGTCAATCTGCCCCCTCTCTCCTCAACCCTAAACCTCTCTTGCTTACCCAGCCAGGAACTGGGAGATGGAGCTTCTAAACCTTGACTCATGCTCCAACAGTCTGTCCCTTCTACCCTCAACTCTAAACCCCACTTGCTCCCCCATCCAAATCTAGGGAGCTGAAGCTTTCCCTAAACCTAGACGCATGCTCCAACTATCTGCCCACCTTACCCTCAACACTAAACCCCACTTGCAAACCCTTACCTCTTGTTTGCATATCTGCCACCCATCCCCCTCCACTCTGCAGGAACTTGCTAGGCGTGTAGCAACACATCTTTGCTTCAACATTGAAGCCTCAATGATTCAGTTCTACCCATCTGCGGAGGAGGCCTTAGATCATGGGTTTAGCGAGTTTGTGTCGCCGCAGGTTCTTGCCTCGTTGCGTGTGCTCTTTCAGCACAATGATGCCAGCACCAGAGGGGTTTTTTTTTAGCAGCTGTCTTCAACTAGGACTTCTATCAACGGCTGGATGAGAAAGGTGGCGCTCACGGCGTTGGGTCGACAGGCGAACAGGTGTTACATCGGGAGGTTACCAGCAGATCTACTTGCACCACTCGAGTTCTACACGGATGAGGAACTCATTGAGCGTTACAAGGATGGTGAGTTTGTATGCAGCCTTTGATCCCATAGTTGCTGTTATGTGTGTTGCAATCATATGTATGACTTCGTTCCTCCTTTCCACTTTCGGTTGCCCCCTATTCACCATAGAGTCAGCAATTTCCATCCCTTTGTTTCCTATCACCACACAATCCCATTACAGGGCAGAGGGGACTGGCTTGGCACCGTGAGCTCCTCATCCCGTTCGGCAGCCTCATCTTCTCGGTGTCCATCAAGTTGGCTTTGGCGCGCCGTGGGGTCAATACCGAGAAGATTAAGACCCGCCAGCTGGGCTGGATCTTATATGCAGTGAGTTTATGGACATGTTGCTATGTTTGATGCCACGTATGCGGTGAGCCATCTAGTGTTTTCATGTGTTAACCCTTGTCTGTTCATCTATTCCACTACATCCCCACCTCATCCCCACCATATTCCTACAGTTCGAGTGGCCAATCCTTAACAATGCGCCCGATGGGAAGTTGAGCGGCAAGTGGGAGTACAATCGGATCCAGTACGAGGAGATGTGCACCCGTGTGAAGCGGGAGGTCGAGATCGCTGTCATGGACCATGGTGTCCCATACGCCAGCAACACGAACACATTCAACTTCCCCAACGGCGTCTACATCGACGCGTCTGACATGGAGACCCTTGTCACCAGGGTGCAGGTAAGTCATCCATAGGACCAAAACCTTGCTGAGATGGCTCCAACACAATGCTCATGTGGCACCAACGCCGTGCTGTGGCACCAGCTTTGTTGCATCACTCACCATCTCTTCCGTCCCCTTCCCCTTCCTCCCATCTCTTCCGTCCCCTTCCCCTTCCTCCCATCTCTTCCGTCCCCTTCCTCCCGTCTCTACTGTCCCCTTCCTTCCGTCCCCCATGCCTCTTTGCGCAGGCAGCACGACCTGCACCAGCCCGGGTTGTCACCCCCAACCCGTGATCACAGAGATCTACAGCAGCACTAGGGGGATATGTGCGGAGGGGCTTAGTAGTGGCAGTAGCAATCTGCAGCAGCAGCAGGGGGATCGGTGCGGAGGGGCTTCGCAGTGGCAGTAGCAATCTGCAACATCAGCAGGGGGACAGGTGCAGAGGGGCTAAGCAGAGGCAGTAGCAATCTGCAGCAGGAGCAGGGGGAACGGTGCAGAGGGGCATTTCAGTGGCTGTAGAAATCTGCAGGAGCAGGAGGACAGAAAACGAGGGGCATATCAGTGGATGCAGCAATTTGCAACAGCAGCAGGGGGACAAGTGCAGAAGGGCGCATCAGTGGAAGTAGCAATCAGCAGGAACAGCAACGGGACGGGAAAACGAGGGCATAGCAGTGGATGCAGCAATCTGAGACAGCAGCAGGGGGACAGGTGCGGAAGGGCACATTAGTGGCAGCAGCAATCTGCAGGAACAGCAGGATGACAGGAAAACGAGGGGCATAGCAAAGGCAGTAGCAATCTGCAGGTGCGGAGGGGCGTAGCAGCGGCAGTAGCAACCTGCAGGAGCAGCAGGGAGACAGGTGCAGAGGGGCGTAGCAGCGGCATTAGCAACCTGCAGGAGCAGCAGGGAGACAGGTGCAGAGGGGCGTAGCAGCGGCATTAGCAACCTGCAGGAGCAGCAAGGAGACAGGTGCAGAGGGGCGTAGCAGCAGCATTAGCAACCTGCAGGAGCAGCAGGGAGACAGGTGCAGAGGGGAGTAGCAGCGGCATTAGAAACCTGCAGGAGCAGCAGGGAGACAGGTGCAGAGGGGCGTAGCAGTGGCAGTAGCAACTAGTAGCAGCAGCAGGGGGGACAGGTGCGGAGCAGCAGGGCCAGCAGGGGGACAGGTGCGGAGGAGCATAGCAGTGGCAGTAGCAACCAGTAGCAGCAACAGGGAGACAGGTGCGGAGGAGCATAGCAGTGGCAGTAGCAGCCAGCAGTAGCTTTAGCAGAAGGATTTAGTAACCTTTAATCAGTGTAGTGTAGGAGCAGTACAGTTGTAATGTATTGTTTTGCTGTATCTAGAGGTACACTATGCTGTATTTTGATTTTGCAATAAAATATTTCAAACAGAAATTTCATGCAAATGACAGTTTCGTATAGGGCCAACCCAAGACACAGGAGACTCTAGATTGGGACCATACTTGGTTCAACTTGGGATAAAGTTGAGAGTAGGCTTGGAGAAAAAATGGTCATCAAATTCACCTAAACTTTGGCCAAACATAGCCCAAAGTTCATCTTAGCAACTATACCAATATTGTACCAAACAATGAGACCATTAATGGTCCAATTTTGGATGGAAACACCAAAGTTGGAGCAATAATTGACCAATATAATAGGGGGGTTTTTGTGATGGGGCCTTGTCCCGCCGGGATGCACCTGCCAAGATGGTCAGAAATGCTGGAAAAACGTGCGAAGGTGAGTCCACTTTTCCGTGACGTTTGTGCGTCCGTGCCACTGGTGTGCGAATTTCGCGAAATCATTGCCGAGAACAATGAATCCCTGGATTACGGCCAGAAGCGCTGCAACCGCGTTTCTCAGCATGTAACCCGTCCAGACCCGTAACGGGCACGTGAAACTTGCTCGCTCTGAGACATTCCAATTTGACTTCGCAGGAAATGTGGATTCGCTCAACTAGCTGAAAAATGCGGCGCGCGTCCGAAGATTTGGTCAGCATGAGCCAGACGGGATGAAAGCGAGCTGAAACTCCCATTGGAAGCGAACTTATGATGCTGGTAACTACATTGTAATCGTCCGGCGATGTTCGTCGAACACTTTCGTGGAAGTCAATCCATATGACCTGTCGGATTTCACAAGCAGTTTATTGAGTAAAGCTGGTAATAAATATTCTGAGACATATACACTCGAAACTTCACCATGCCATGCATAAACTTAACATTTCACAAGCAATTTTTGTTCCACAAAAAACCTCAGCCTGGTCACACGGACATCATGGCATTTTCAGTGCTTTCACTCAATATTTCAGGGAAGGGCTTCCTTGATTTTAGCTCCAGGTGTGGCCAGCCAGCCCAGCAACCAATTGCTCATAATATTGCATGCATTTACACAACACAAATTCGGTTCCATTGTTATAGCATAAGCGATGGTGTGAAGCTTTCATCAACTCAATATCCATGCGCTCTCCCTAAAGATTCTGGCTCTGTACTGGTTAAGCAGGATATATGACAGCATGTGCGAAGCTTTCACCCACAAAACAGAATGTCCTGCCATTACGTCATTTGGGGGTTGCTTAACAGCACTGCACATGCACCTACTGCTTATATTTGCTTCAAGGTCTGTGCATGGGCTAAGATTTGTGCCGCTGCTGACGTGGCTGCAGACGACTTGGCCCCCTCAGTTGCCAGGTCAGATTGCACGGGCACAGCTGGTGCCACATCAGCAGCCCCGGCTCCGCTCTCCTGCTCCTTGAACGCAGCCACGGCCTCTCGCCTGCCCTCCACATCCACGATGCGCTCCATCTCCTCCAATTGGTCGAACGGTGCCACCTGGCAGAATGGGATTGGGAGGGAGATAGGGAGAATGAATGTGTGTAGACTATGAGAGGGCAATTGTGTGAGACCGCAAGCGTGTGTGTGGGTATGTCCATGTGATGTGTGAATGTAGAGCATCTTGAGAACGTGGCTACACCCTCTGCTGACCTGGCAATACCTGCTGCTGACCTGGCTACACCATCTGCTGACCTGGCTGAACCCATCAGGCCACACAATAGAGACGGCGTAGTTGCCCATAGGCCGCACGCTCTCGGGGATGATGTCATCGCTGACGTCACTGTACTGCAGCTTCTGCTCCCCCGTCCACTCGTCCTGACCAGGGTGGGAATGCAGGGCCGGGCAATGGGAGGGTGAGAATGCAGGGAGGGGCGATAGGAGGGTGAGAATGCAGGGAGGGGCGATGGGAGAGTTACAACAGTGGAGAATAGAGAATGGAGGGGCAGGAGATGGGAGGAGTAGGGTGCTGGGAGATAGAAATTAAATCGCTGCAGATGCAGTGCAGTGGTGCAGCCATTCAGTGGCATGGGTAGAACAGCCTGTCACGAGCAAGGGGAGGAGGTGTTACCAGCCCCCTCGCCCTCCTATGACATGCGTGGACATGCATGCGGCCTCCCACCCACTCTAGTAAGACTCAAAGTGCCCACTGGTGTTGCTCTTGACTCACTGCGCTCCCAGCTAAGTCACAAGAGACCTGACTCTGTTTGACTCCAATTGACTCCTTGAAAGCCCTTGACAGCAGCGCTTGACTCCTTTGACCCTCCTTCACTCACTGGGCCCCCTCCACGCCAGCTCACTTTCCCTGAATCTCAACTTGACTCCCTCGACTACCACTGACTACCATTGACTCGCATTGACTCGCGTTGACTCACAATGCTCTGCGCCGATCGGTCGTTGCGTCGCACTGTTGCCGGGTGCAGGAAGAACTCCTCGTCGCTTCCTGGAAGCTTCACTCGCAGGGCCCTCAGAGCTTCGTCATACAGCACTGCTGTGGCGACTGGATTGGCGGGCAGGAGGTGAGGGGGCGGGGGGGTGTAGAGGAGGGACAGGAGGGAGAGGAGGGAGAGTAGGGAGAGGAATGAGAGGTAAGATTTCAGCGGCAAGGCCCTGTTCCCCCCATGCTGCACCTTGCTGTGGGGAGTGCACCTTCCCCCCATCTTTGATCACCCCTATCCTTGAATCGCTCTCCTTGCTCTTTACCACACATTCCCCCACACGAGCCCACTACCACGCCCTCTCATCCCTCTAACTCAGCTGCACGACACACGCCCCCACGTTACCATAGAAACGCACTCAGCAGCGGCACACCCAGTGCCAGTTGAACCGTTGACTCACCCTGCTGCCGCAGCTTGGCGCACTGCTGCACCACACACGCCCCCACGTCCGTGAACGTGCGAGCCACCTCGCCCAACGGGTCCTCCACCACCTCCGGCTGCCCGCTGTCCCCCGCTGCTGACAGCTGGCGGTCACACATGGGGGGAGCATGGGAGGCACAGGGGAGGCGTGTCACACATGGGGGGAGCATGGGAGGCACAGGGGAGGCGTGTCACACATGGGGGGAGCATGGGAGGCACAGGGGAGGCGTGTCACAGTGGAGGCACTGAGGCAAGATCATGAGAAGAGAGGTGTGAGGCAGAGACAAGTGCCAGAATTGAGAACAGGCAGCGGGGGGGGGGGCGGGCGGGGAGGGGGGGACATGGCCGAGCGTGATTTTCGAGCAAGCACTGCATCTCCCAACTGCCATGCGCCTCCTAAGGATGTTCTTCTTGGCGCCATTTGAGGACGAGATTGGGGCGCCGTCTAAGGCGATTTTTTTTGGCGCATTTTGAGGCGCCTCAGAAATGATTTCCAAGCACCAGATCACCAAGGACATACTCGAAACAACAAATACTTCTGGGCACCGCGGAGCACCGTGGGGTACCGCAGCGCACCTCGGGGCGAATGGGCAGCTCGAAGAGGTGTGGGATGCCAAACTGCGCCACCACCTCGCTGCCCGACCCCTTGCCAAAGGGGAAGTAGCGCTTCCCGTCTGCCTCGAAATAGGCCATGTTCTCCACCACTGCCACACACGGCACCTGGCAGTTATGGGAAGGGGGGAAGGAAGGGGGAAAGGAGGGGGGAAAGGAGGGGGAAAGGAGGGGGGAAAGGAGGGGGAAAGGAGGGGGGAAAGGAGGGGGACATTGGGACATGGGGGCATTGGGTGAAGGAAAAGTAGAGCTTCCCGTCCACCTCTGTCACACACGGCACCTGGGAAAGGGGGGCGTGGGGGAGTGGGGGCGGGGGAGTGGGGGAGTGGGGGCGGGGGAGTGGGGGCGTGGGGGCGTGGGGGAGTGGGGGCGTGGGGGCGTGGGGGAGTGGGGGCGTGGGGGCGTGGGGGAGTGGGGGCGTGGGGGTCATGCGGTCAAAGAACGCCATGTTCTCGACCACCGCCACACACGGCACCTGGCGGTTATGGAGGGAGGAGAAGGGGGAGGGGCATTCGGGCACAGGAG